TATCAGTTCTAAGAAGAAAAAATTATAGCATTTGAAGAACTTGAGACAATTGGATAGGACATTCAAAATTTTAAATAAAAAAAATAATAAACAATAAAATTTAAACAAATCGAATTTCAAATATCCTGGCACTCTTTGAAGAGAAAACTGTAGTGACAAATTGTTTCAAATTTCGCTTTCATCCAAGATTATAGTTGCTGGCGACTTACATTTTATTGATCAGCATAACATCGTTAAACACAGTTTTACTTGACAATATTTTTATATTTCATTGTCTAAAGATGCATGTGGCCTTTAGTCTTCACCCACGCGTATTGCGTATTTGCAACGATTCATCGAATATTATTGATTACGTGTATCCAAATTGTGATGTTGATTCTTGTTCAGTTGTCGATGTCTCTTTGATCATGAGACAGTTCTTACTATTCTTAGTGACTTTAAAATCAGTTGGAGTCGACGGCAAAAGGAACGAAGATTCAGTAATGAAAATTTCTTAGAATTTCGGCGACTATGTCTCCTGTTAACTGGTTGGGCATTGTGTCTCCGGAACCTCTGTTCTGGTTTCACTCTGTCCTGAGCGTTTTTGAAACAGCATTTCTGTTGCTGTGGATTAAACATGAAACAAGGAAGAAGAAACCATGGCTTTCAGAAGGTTTAAGGGTGTCCTCTGGGAACTTGCTCTATCTTAATAATGTCAATGTTTTTTTTTTCCGGCAATGACCGCATTTTATATCTTATTGCAACAGATATCGTAATACTTATCGTCGACTAGTGGAAGCAGCTAATGAAATTTTCTCCGCCAGCAGATTATTAGGGGCGAGGAATAGACAGAGGGAGTGCTGGTCTATCATTGGTGAGGTTGTTACAAATTAAATAGAAATTTTTTACTTTAAGACAAGATAACCTAGGGTCGTGGAATTCAAAAAATTAAGATAACGTGTAGTCCCTTTATGTGCAAATGAAACCACTCAAAATCCAACAAACAATAATTTTATTTGATATTTAACAATGTTATATGTAACATAGGGTAACAGTAAATGTTACTATCTGTAAAATTTTAGTGTTGACAACTTGGTTTTTCCGGTGAATCTTATACCATGTACCTTTCCAATCCGGAGCTCTTCAATGGGTGATGGGGTTTCACTTGCATGAACTGGAGCTCTTCGTGTTGTTTCCTGTATCCAGGAAGAGGATAGATTGCTGGGGTGACGTCACTCCAGCTGATCCAGACTCCAAACAGTGATCTTATGTCGAGTAGGTACCCAGAAAAGAATAAGGCCGTATCAGGTTCACCAATATTTGGAATATTAAATCCCTGAATTCTGTCAAAAAAAAATGAGTGTCTTGCAAAGGAAATTGAAATTGAAATTTAATATAAAACGATTGTTGTACAGACACTCCCTTCTAACAGAATCAGGTATGAACAGCTATTGCTAGTTGAAAAAAAAAATAATAAAAATTTAATATAAAAAAAAAACAATTAAATAATAAAGAATAATGGTAAGATAATAATAAAATTGAAATAATAACAAGATTCAATTAAAATGCTCGTTATGATTGAGCAAAATGCTGCTTTCCTGACAGCAGCTCTGGCAGGCAAAAATATGAATAACAAAGTGAAACAATAAGAAATTAAATCTTTGGATTCTCCCCTAAATAGACAAAATTTTCCTTCCGAATTAAGGTAGCAGGTAGCTACTATAAATACTACAAAATAAACCTTGGGTTGAAATTAATCAAATCCAGAATATGTCAAAATTCTTGAGATGTTCAAATTAAAAAAAAATTCTGAATTTTTGACCTGTCTGGATTTCTATTAAAAAATAACACCCTTTAGTCGAGATAATAATTGTCAAACAGAAAATGGCTATTCAGGCCTCTGCCTGGATTCAATAAAGAGTTAATACGATGGATACAAAAATTTGGTTTTCACCGACTCTATTTAGAGCAAATGGTCCAATATTCCCACACTAACAATTGATTCTGAAAACCAGAGCAGCAGTATTTTTTTTTTTAAATCCAAAAATCTGAATTGACTTACCTTAGCCTTAGATAAACGTGGCACTACCAATCGACACTCACACAAAATGGAAGCCAACAATTAGATAAAAAAAAAATAAAATTTAATATTTATATTTCAAGAACAGATAAAATAAGATTTATCAGGTAAAAACTTAATAATGATATGATAATATGCATTGATAGCAAAATATATTAACAAATCTATAAGGGAGAATCCAAAAATACAAAGCAAAAATTATTCAAATAAAGAGGACTTTCCTGCTAGACTCCTGTTGAGGGAAGAGATCGTTTTAGAAACAAAGCCCACAGGAAAACGATTCTGTGTTTTTTATACTTAACTGCATTTTAACCAGTTCAACTAATCAGACGAGTACACCCAAAAGATCATATTCACTTCACAATAAAATCACATTGAAAACCCACGTGGAATAAAAGAGAATAGATAAAAATCCACTAGAATTATTTTAATTGTTTACAAATTATAATAATTTAAATTAAGGTTATGTCAAAAATAAAAAACTGTTAATTATTTAGGTCATGAAGCCAAAAAGTGATTATTTCAGAATCAGAAGATAGAGAAAGACAAAAATATTCCATTTGCTAAAAGTGAGATAAATATAATTTCTTTCAATGAAAATACAAATGACTCTCAAATGCGAAATAATTAAAATAATACTTTGAAAAATAAATCCATCAGGTACTAGATGGCAGTACTGGTAAATAAATAAAAGATATTTGCATTTTACGGACATGATGGATAGATGGCAGCACTGGTTTCATTTTGAACTTTGTGGATATTTCAAGAATATTAGAAATTCTTATTTTGATTCTGAAATGAAAAAAATACGCCTTTATAATGAAAATAAGAAGAGATGGAACATGTTACGTAAATGATAAATTTATCGTAACAAGTTATGCAAGAGATCCATATAATGCAATCGTAAAGAGGTTAATGTTGATCCCGATACATTGAATTCATTCTATTGTAATACAGCTCGTAGTTTTAACTGACAACATGCCTACTACAGGGAATCCTCTGGACTATTTGTTGGACTTATCAGTTCCAACAATCTGACCCGTCTGTGTACCAGATGAGCCTTTTCGGCTTGAGGAAACCTGGGTCAGACTCTACCCAGTCATCCCTTGCAGGGATGACGACTTTGTCTATAAGGGGCTGGAGTTATTATCATTCTATCGCTTCTGATGAGAAGGGGGTCCTGTCTGATAGTATCAGTCCAGGCGCTTGCATGTTCCATGTTCAGCCTTCTATGAACCCATTATCCCCAATCGTTGAGTTTGACTGATGCTTTCCGGGCCCGTGCCTCCACTAAGAGATGAAGAGGGATTATTCGCAGTATGGCCTCCATTACCAGCATTGGGGTGATTCTAACCGCTTCGATTGTAGTCACGCAGGCATGTCGTTAGAGTTTGTCCAGCTTTGTCTTTTAGGTGGACTTGCTAAGCGCGTTCCACCAAACTAAGCTTCCTTAACTAAGCCAGGAGCGTCCTACAGGCCCAAAGGCTAGCAGTGATCCTCTGGATGACCCTGGTTGACGTGATCTTCCCAGGTCAGCGTGGAGTCAATGATTACTCCTATATATTTGACCGAACCGGATTGTGCAAGTCTTCATCCAAAGAGCGTGAACTTTTCCAGGCTCACATTTCTTTGCTTAGTAAATGGTAATACTTCGGTCTTGTCTGGATTCACAGAAAGCCCGTGATTATTAAACCATCTTTCGACCATGTTAAGAGCTCATTGCATGATCTTTTTAATGGTGATGGGTACCCTACTAGTCGTGACGATGACAAGATCGTCCGCGTAACCTTGAGTGTACATACCTTCCTCGTTCAGAGCGCGGAGCAATCCATCCAGCCAGGGCGATAGTACACCCCCCTGCAGGCAGTCTTTGGCTAAGCTTTAGCTAATCTCCGCACTTCTAATCGAGATTGTAATGATTCTGCCTCCCAGCACAACGATCCATTTGACAATAATATTCCCTATGCCAAAGCTTTCTGCAGAATTCCTAATAGAGTCGAAGGAGATGTAGCAGAAATGCTCCCAGAGCCATCCCTTTGCGAGACATTCCTCCCTTCAACCTTGCCACAGGGCTGTAAAGAGCCGTCTCAGTTGACCTGGCAGTCCTATAGTTGATGAGACAGAGAAGAAGTCTTCTGGGTATGGGGAATTAAAAACAAGAAATATAGAGAAATCAATAAAAAAAATACAAAAAACTCTCAGATCATAGAAGAGATTCTTCGACCAAACAAAAATATTTCACACACAGGGTCGTAATTTACATACGGAATTTCGACAAGAAGAATGTAATTATGGATAATTGTAAATATAACACCAGATTGCTTTATTTTGGAATTGCCCTTTAATCAGATATATTTACACTATTTGAGTTGGCTATTTTCAGTACCATAGTTTTATCAATTATGTACTAAATTCACCACAATTCAAATGGAATTTTAATTAATTTACATTGCTATTTGTGTGTCAACACAGTTATATATTATTAACTTTATGTAGATACACACATATATTAAGAAAAATGCATGCAATAAATTATTAAATTAAATAAGTACCTACAAATGTAAATAAATGACACCTGGAAAGGTTAACTCATTCTACTCAAAAACTTCCGCCAAATTGTTTCTTTCAATTTTCACTATATTAGATCGTACACGTGATAACGTAAAACAGACTATTTTGGTTTTGAGTTAAATACCTAATCAAGTGTCTTTGAGACACAATCTCCCCTTCTTAAACGTGTAATTCAGCCTAAAGCTGCAATCGATTAAGACCAGGTTTAAATGGCGGCTGGAACATTGGGAGACCGCCCGAGCCAATAATCCATCGTAAAGTGTTTTGTCCCTGTCGCCTAATCTGCCTGGATTATCGTGGCTATACAAAGCGTCTGGTAATAAATAAGAACGTTAAAACCTACACCTTAGCATTTCCCTTAACTTTTTAGATCAGGAATGTTCGTGGTTGGTCCTGAATCGGCAGGAGCTCATCCAGGTCCTGTGTGTTACAAAAAAGGCGGTCCTTTGACTGTAACTGATGCCAATTTAGTTTTGGGACGTTTATTGCCGGATTTTTTTCCGAAAATTTTTGGACCCAACGAAGACTCGCCTTTGGATAAAGACGAAACTGTTAAAGCTTTTAAAAAATTAACTCAGACAATTAATGAATTCTTGAAGGAACCAAAAGGAGATGGAGATAAGGTATAAAAAAATATATTCTACAAACAAGTTTTGAAAAAATAGATTTTAGAGTCAAATGTCAGTCGAAGAAGTAGCTATGGGCTTTATTCGCGTAGCTAATGAAGCAATGTGTCGACCAATAAGAGCTCTCACTCAAGGAAAAGGCTACGATACAGCAAGACATGCTCTAGCATGTTTTGGTGGTGCTGGCGGTCAACATGCTTGCGCTATCGCGAGGTCTTTGGGAATGACTACTGTCTTTGTCCATAAATATGCAGGTACTATTTATTGAGCTAAGAAAATATAAATTTCAACTTTGGAAACGTTTTTTTTTTTTAATTTTCAGGGATTTTGTCGGCGTACGGAATGGCTTTGGCGGACGTCGTGCAGGAAGCTCAAGAATCCTGCTCTAAAATTTATATTCCGGAAAACTTTGATTATTTTGATGGTCGCTTGGAAGCGCTGAAACGAGAATGCAAGCATAAATTGCTTAATCAGGGATTTACTGAAGCGGATATTGGTAGGTGGAAATAATCTGATATCCTCACTCAATAAAGCACAACACACTTATAATTATTATTACTTAAAAAATATAGTCTTGGAACCGTATCTTCATATGCGCTACGACGGAACAGACTGTGCTCTAATGTGCAGTCCTTCACTACCTGATGATGGTAGCAAAAGTCCGAAACAAGGCGACTTTTTGAAATCTTTTGTTGAAAGATACAAATCTGAATTTGGATTTGTTATACAGAATAGGAATGTGGTGGTTGACGATGTCAGAGTAAGAACTATTTTTTTTTTTCTGCGAAACTAGTGAATAGTTAATTTCTCTTAGGTCCGAGGAGTTGGTAAGAGTGCGGTAGAGAAAGATGATGAAATAAGTGCATCCAAAGAAGTATTTAAACCTATCACAGTCACAAAAGTTTTCTTTGAAACTAAATATTATGAGACGAATGTTTATCAATTGAATAACCTCCAGGCTGGAAAAAGCTTGGTAGGTAAGTAAAATTTAAAGTGATTGCACCATAATTATTGCTTCATATGCAACGCTAAAACTTAATTAAAACGCTCCTAATTACTCAAATTAACGCTGCTTTGAGTTTAGCTCCTTTCGAGACAAGTTTCTTTTTAATTAAAATTTTTCAATAAATTCCGTGAGCTATTAAAATTGAAATACATTATGTGAGATTCTGAAGAAAACGGTAAATTACATGCTATTTTTCAGGACCTTGTATTATAATGGACCAACTAAGCACAATATTAGTCGAACCTGACTGTACTGCAACAATAACAAAATACGGCGACATAAAAATAACTATCGGAACCGGAAAAATAAAAGAAATCGGTCCCGCATTGGACTCTATCCAGCTAAGCATTTTCAGTCATAGATTTATGAGTATAGCTGAACAGATGGGCAGGTAAGTTTATATTTTATCTCCATTCAATAAAAGCAAAACTTATTAGGTTATATTTTTGATTTGCTTTATCATATTATTTCAAGAATCCTGCAAAGAACTTCGATTTCCACGAACATCAAGGAACGTCTCGATTTTTCTTGTGCCCTTTTCGGCGCCGACGGTGGCTTAGTGTCAAACGCGCCCCATATTCCAGTCCATTTGGGAGCCATGCAGGAGGCGGTGCAATTTCAAATGAAACATAGGAAGAAGTTTTTCCCTGGGGATGTTATTCTCACTAATCATCCTGCGGCCGGCGGCTCGCACTTACCCGACTTTACTGTTATTACGCCAGTGTTTTATAAGTAAGAAACTTTTTCTTTTATTCTTAAAAACTACTTAAAAACTGCACTTCTTAAAGTCAGATAAGTACCAGACAATTTCTCTGTATCAAGACAAATTAATGGGTAAATAATTTTTATAAAAAGTGTTGAAAATTGGGTACTTATACCACGGAATAACAAACAATCAGAATAAAAGCAGGAAGAGAAATCATGGTCACGGAGTGAGTCACGCCCCTTGGGCAACGGCGGAAAGATGTTCAGTGGTAGCGCGTCACCAGTTAGTTTTATCAGTATTCTTGACGTTATTTTCGGCGGAAGGGAGTTTTACCAGTATGCGCTTCTGATATTTCCGCCGTTAGCACGATTCAAGGTCGTAGAAAGGCAAATTGGATCTCTCTGTATTCCTTCTGATTGTTTGTTATTCTGGGCTTATACCAACGAAAAATTAGGAATAACCAAATGAACACAAGGCTCTTCGACCAGTAGTAATTATCTGCAATTTCTGAATGAAATGAAAAGTCTACAGGGTGATTACAAAATGGCGTATAAGCTCTCCACTACGTCATAAGAAACCCTTCAGGGAATCCCAGAAAAATATTTAAAAAAATCTTCCTCGACCAATCTTGGTGATGTGAAGGAGTAAAGTTGAGACGTCAACTTCTTTATTTCCGATTTTTTTTAAAACTGCGATATTCCCTATAAAGTTCTAGGTGTTTTATTGATCTATGACAAAAAAGATCGCATTGGTTGGATAATATTAGGTACCTTTTAAAAATAATTTTGCAAACTGTAAAATCTGTACATACCTCTAAGCTCAGGTATGCATCGTAAGCCAATTTCGAGGATTAGTTATGAAAACCTGGATTAGATATAGTTTTCTTATGCACCGCAAGAAAAATTTGATTTAAGCTTCAGATTGTCTAATCGATAAACGAGGCGTGGATTAGCGGACCGGTGTCTAACCTAATAGTTATTTTTGTATATCTAGTGCGCGAAATGCTACTTTGGCTAGCTAGATTATCTCACCTCATGCACCTTTTTCAAATCCAACTTATTCTACGGGGAATGCCCCGCTACATAAGCACTTGGCGATATGAGGTGTCGTGGGTAGTGGTATAACAGCTACAGATAATAGCTAGTATCTAGCCTTTCTTACTGCTCGACGGTCCTATGGCAGAGTATAGGTGCAGTGCTGTTGAATTTTCCAGTACATTGGTTCTAAGCTTGAGACTTTCCGACAATGGAAACGTTTTTTATTAAATCTCGCGATCCAATTGTTTATCAAAGGCATGTAATGCTTGAAATTATGAAATAATTTTATTATTTTTGTTTGTTTGTACTTTTTTTTTAAATTATAATTTTGTATCTGAATTGTTGATTTTAAAAGGCTTCTAATGCGAGTTTCAGTGCTTTTCTTTAGATCTCATTATGTTGTTTTTCGTAGGGCCCTGATGATGCAAATATTGAAAGTATCCTCATGCGTCTCTCCCGGGGAAAAGTTCTTTTGGTGTTTTCATCAGTAATTTTAATATTTTAAGAATATTTTCAGAGAATAAAAATAAAAATCAAGTAAAAATTGGAATTCGAAACTGACAATAATATTTTAACGTTAATCGACTTCAAAACTGTCAAACACTCTCGGGATACCAACGTTGTCAAGCTTCCACTCCGGATTAGTTAATCCGCTGACGGAGCTTAGCTATAGCCCAAAGTTTACAAAAACGGGATTTTTTTTTTTTACGGATATGCGCACTCGCAAGGAAATGTCCTATCACGCTCGAGAAGCGGCAAGTGCGCGGAAATGTCGGTGTATGTTGGTCTTGAAACGGTTCATGTTGTAACCTGCAGGGAAAACCGTTGCAGGGAGTTTATTCCACAGCGACGCTGTTCTCCAGAGATATGAATTCTGATATAATGAGGTTCTTGGTGCCTCTAGTTTGACAATAAATTCATGGTTACCGTCTGTTTGACGGGTTCGCCTGGTAGGCGCTACTCTCGGTGGAATCATACGTGCCAACTCTTCAGAGCATTTTCCGTGATAGTACCTGTAGAAGAGAGATAAATCGCCCACAGATCTGCGATGTTCGAGACCATCCAAGTTACGAGTAAGTGCGGGGTCATTGATCAGCTTGATAGCTCGTTTTTGCACGGTGTTCAAAAGCATTAAGGTATGTTTGGGTGCTGCACTCCATATATGTGAGCAGTACTCCATAGTTGGTCGAATCTGGGCTTTGTAGAGTGTCAGCAATTGGCTTGGTGTGTACAGATGTCTTGTACGAAATAGCACCCCCAGCTTTTGGGACGCCCTTTTAGCAATATCTGCCACGTGATTGTGCCAAGACATGTTGGTCTCTGCAGTAACCCCCAAGATGTTCAACTGACTCTGTAATGTGACAGCACTTCCAGATAGCATGATGTTTGGCTCACCGGTGCTGTTCTTTTTTGAAAAAGGAGCTGCTTGGGTTTTCTGTGCGTTGAACTGTACAAGGTTTTTGTTACCCCAGTCCTCTATTATCTCCAGGTCGTTATTTATCTGCGATATTTGAGTTAGTCTAAGATGATGGAATTCACGTGCGGAAAGACCTGTGGGTGGTGTGAGTGAGGAGACTACATTGCCATCGTCTGCAAAGCAATAAAGTGGATTTACTGTTTTATCTATGAGGTCATTTATGTAAATCAGAAAAAGAGTTGGCGAAAGGATTGCTCCCTGTGGCACACCAGCATTTATTTGGTAAGAGTTGGAGTTCTGGCCATCCAGTGCAACATAAATGGATCTGTCCTTTAGGTAACTTTCAAACCAAGTGCAAAGTTTCGGCGATAATCCCATTGCTTTGAGCTTGTTGAGCAGATTTTCATGCCAAACTTTGTCGAATGCTTTAGATATATCTAAGGCAATTGTTCTTGTTTCACCCCGCAACTCAATCGCTTTTTGCCATAAGTGAGTGACGTATGTAAGTAAATCGCCAGTTGACCTATATTTTCGAAATCCGTATTGCTTATCGTTGATAATTTTGTACTTTTCCAAGTACTTGGTTAGGTGATTGTTCACAACTCTTTCCATTACTTTTGATATCACCGGAAGTAGAGCAATTGGTCTATAGTTTAACGGATCTGTCTTTTTTCCTTTCTTTGGAATGGGTTGTATTGCGGCAGACTTCCATGATGATGGATATACTCCTTGCCTGTAAGACAAATTGAATAATTTTGCGAAAGTTGGGGTGAGTTCGTTGGCGCAATTTTTGAGTACTATTGCGGGAATGCCATCCGGACCCATTGCTTTGTTTGTATCTAGCTTTTTAAGGGATTTTCGTATTTCTCTGTGACAAAAGGGTACCTCTGGCATACTATGGGAAACCCTTTCAATGAACGGTGGAGTTTTTCCGTTTGGCACTGTTAGGTTGGAGTTGGAGGAAAACATTTGGGCCAGCATATTGGCTTTTTCCTCTGATGTTGTGGCTAAGTGATTATTTTTATCTGTAAGTGGTGGTATGGATGACTTGGTGAAGTTAGATCCAACAGCTTTTGCAAGAGACCAAAAGGACCTAGAACTTCTTGGACAATTCAGCAACCTGTTTTTTATTCTTTGATTGTATGTTTCTTTAGCGGAGTCAATAGTAATTTTGCAACTATTTCTGGCTTCTATAAATTCTGTGTGGTTTTGAGCGGTTTGTTGTCGTTTCCAAAGATTATATGCTCTGTGTTTTTTCTGTACAGCCGTTGATTGGAGAACTAGAATAAACAAACGGTGCATTCGGGCGTAAAATCCGAAAAATGAATTTGGCAACCTGCTGAGATATTATAATTAGTTAGGTAAAACCGGTTGAGGTGATAAAATTAGGACAGGCACCGCCATTTTGGAATCACCCTGTATACTATGATTCCGTTTTGCTAGAAGCACAGGCCAGGGAAAAAAAGGGCCAAAGATCATGAAACGATTATACACCGTAGACGGCCATAAGAGCCAGGTAACCATAGGTTGAGTTATTATCTGATGGCAATTCAGCATGAATTTTGCACTTGTAAGTGGTGTATGCGTATATAGTGGGTATTTTCATTGTAAATTTATAGTGATTATTTCATTCATTATAAAATAGACAACGTCATTTTTCTGCGATTGACAAGAAATGTCAGCATTTTTGACCGGTTGACAGGTCGCAAAACCCAAAATTCTGGTATTTTAATTGTGTTTCAATAGTTGCTAAGGAATCAATGAATAACAATACGAGAATCACTTTTCCGGCCTAGGCCGGAAAAGTGATTCTCGTACTGCCTAACAATTGGAACAAAAATGCAAACGTTTAACAGATATTTAACCGATCTCAGAAAAAATAGTACGTGTATTTCGGTAGAAAAGCACATTCTCGGCCTTCGGTGTTTGCCGGCCTCGGCTACGCCTCGCCCGTCAACTTACATCGTCGGCCGAGAATGTGTCACTTTTCCACCTAAATATACAATATACTATTTTTGAAAGAATTTTGTTTAAATAGGTGATTATTTCACAAGACCTTGTTTATCAGCGAATAAATTTTTGTTTACCTTTTTTGACAGAATTTGGATAGAAATATTCTGACATTTCATAATAAATAGAACTTTTTGGATAGGATTGACGCCAATAATTCAATCCTAATTATTCAGGAAATAATCTAGCCGTATACCACTCGACCTATAAATTTAAATGGATTAAACTACCCAAATATTTTTTGCATAATTTTGCTTTTTGGCAAATATTTTCATGCACAATAACTTTTATTAAGTTATTGTGCATTCAACTATTTTCCAAGCAAAATCATGCTCGAAATATGTTGGATAGTTTAATCGATTAAATTTAAAGCTCTTGTGATATAATATATGAAAATTTTATCAGGCCTTAATCCGGTAAAATGTGAGCGCGTTCTTGATTCCAAAGCTAGGACTATAGCATTGAATGGCCATGATACAATGGTGCATCAGATGCCTTTAAGTACTATCCGATGTGTAAAGTCTCGTGGAAAATATTACACGAGTAAAGCTACATCCTCAAT